AAGAGGAAGTGGAATCATACCATGAAGTCTACCGTTATCTCGTGATATTGTCAGCAGAGACAAGATGGTTTGCTCTTGCATAATAAATCGTCGGCTTATATCTAGTTCCACTTCCCTTGATGTTGCAAAAAATAAAATAAAAATAGTGACCACTATCTGTCTGCATTACTACAAATTTTCCCTCGGCAGTCAGTCCCGGGTCTTTTCCTTCAGGATAATTGGATGGGATTCACCCCGAGGACGTATTATTTTAATTACGCGTCACCTCTCGGGGTGCTGGAGGGCCCCGGAGGAGGTCCCTGTGCTCCGAGGTGAATCCCAGTGGGACGAGCTCACACGAGCCATTTCCACAACACCGCAGACGCTTCACATACCGACGCAGCTCCTCTGGATGCGGGGGACGGATGGATGTCCCCTTAAGGCGGGCTGTGAGCTCACACTTCAGTTCAAAGTAATAACTTTTAGCCAACCCCGGTTGTGAGACAGGGAATACAAAGACCTCACTGCAACGAAAGCGACTGGCAACTGTTTTGATAATTGATTTATTTTAGCGGCACAAATTCTCTTCTCATCGATGTAGACGGAATATTTTGGACAAGACGAGACGAGACATTGGAAGACGTCGTCTTGTTTTTTTCCCACCGTCCTTTGACATTTCACAGACCAAATGCTGAGTGACTTCATTGAGAAAATAATCACAAAATCAATCGATTATGAAAGTAACCGTTGCAGCCCTGCTCGCATCAATTCAAAGATGAGTTATGTTTCCGCCTCATCATCAGCTTCACTGAACTGGCAAAGACATCCAAGATAAAACAAAACAACTAAGACTCATTTTGATGCCGCTTGAATTCAATGAAATAATAATGACCTGGTATTTGATGAATCATTGTGAGAAACTGTAGTAGCAAGTTGTGTCAGAGAAATCTTCTACCCTAGAAACACCAGTTCACAGAAACTAAAACCAGACGCACGACTTCTTTGGTAATTCTGAGCGTTGAGTGGTTACAATTGGACAAATAGCATCAATTCTAGTCTCCAGAGTATTCAGAGGAATCAACGAGACGAGAGCTCTGTGCTTCATGTTGGTGACTTCGCTCTGGCCTCTCTACACCAGTGATATCATTAGGGTGTGGATCTCGTCAGAGCCTCTAGGCCTGAGGAATACAGAACACAGAGTCATCCTGATTTGGACACACACACTCACACACAGACCTTTAAGGGTTATATGGCACCACAGGCCTGACCTATCACTCCTCATGCAGAGTCATGTTACACACCCACAGCTTTGATACACCCACCCCAATACAGCTACAGACTCAAAACCACTGGAGCAGCTGGTTTCTGTTTCTGGCGGTTTAAACTATTTTAAACTGGCGGTTTTTTCCTTCTTCTTCTACAGAGAACAAAGCCGTTTCTATCCATCGACCTCAAACACGTCTTTTCTCTCGGAACTTCCCCTCAGTCGATCTTCCCAGGGCAGCGAGGACGGGGATTTGAAACAATAGCCATATGGAGATGAATATGATTAAAAATGGCTACCGTGCCTCTAGATTAACCACATGTCACAGCTAATTATGGGATGCACAAACATGGATTAACTTAATCTAAGATTAGCTCTCATCAGAGTTTTAAAAAACTAGGTTTGAAAATGACTAAATCCAGATGTTAATGCAGGCAGAGCTTTGTTATACAGTTAAAAATGAATCTCTGTTGAGTGTTTAGACAGCGTTTGATCCATATGGACACACCCAAATTAAGATGAATACATTTGCGTGCTGGAAAACTTGTCAGCCGATTTAATGGAGCAATATGCCGAAATAAAAGAAGATAAAATGGACAAAGGGACAGTAAGTAAACAACTGTTTTCACAGTAAAAAGAGGCCGCCTGTTGGTCCAATCTTCCCGTTCAGCTCTAACGGTTCCCTCGGTGAACCGGTGTCTTGAGAGAAATTCTGCATCATCATCATCATAAAACTTAACTGGGTGAGTCTGCCCTGAACTTTCTCTGAGCAACTTGATTATTTTGCCCAATCAATGAAAGAAAGGCAGTCAATTCAACAGTTAAACCTCCTCAAGTGTGAGTTTAAAGTTAACACTAAAGTTTAAAGAGAGGTTTAAATTGGACTTGGGGAATAAGCAATGTGTTCTTGCACACCAACCGAAGTTAAAGTAAACAAAGGCGTCTCCTTTTCAGGCTCCAGATCAAGGACACGAGGATCCATTAGTGTGGGTCAGGAGGGGGCCAACATTTCCACATCCACACTTCCATCTGTTCAAGTCCCGACGTGTCCTCGCGTCCCCACCACATGATCCTTTCCCGGAGGAAAAACAGATAACATCATCCTCGACTACCACCGCTTAACTTCAACACGGATAACGAATTACAAGAGTTCCTGACCTCGTTGTCTTGGCTAGCAGCTGATCAAATTCAGCATTTCGTAACGGTGCTACAGGCTACAGGCTTTGTAAGGTGCTGAAACGCTCGTCTGGACGGAGACTGTTGTAAAAACCTAGTAGGGTGGAAGTAAGGTTCTTGGCTCAATTGGACATTAATTAGCGATGCCAATCGGCAATTGGACATCGGCCCATGTGGGCGATGCCACATTAGCAGCATGAGCCCAACACCGTCACCTCTCCCCCTCCCCCCCCCCTCTCTCTCTCTCTTATTCTGTCACACACGTCCTTCTTCCTCTTTTACATTCTCTCTGTGTCGTACAGTCATTTTCCCATTATGATATATGGTTCCTCTCACTCACTATTCACTTCCTCTTCCCCCCTCTGCCTCTGGGGGGAGGGGGGATTTAAGTATGAGTCACTCATGAAGGATTCCAGGAGCCTCGGAGCAGTGTGCTTCCCACTAGAGGAAACGACCAGAGGGATTGATCTACCAATAAGAGGATCAATGGCTAAAAGATTGTTTCCCACACACACACACACACACACACACACACACACACACACACACACACACACACACACACACACACAATGGCCGACCTATTCACACAGATGTCTAGTGATGCTGACAGCGCTATCGGAACGCAAATAAATGAGCTACTTTGATTGTCCGGCTTTACGAGGAGTAACACGGCCACGCTGCTCTACATGTTTGGCAATGCTGGTTACATCATTTTTTCATAAATTGGCAAACGACGGCAGACGTTAGACAAAGGCAAAAGATTATTAATAAAATCTTCACACAGTTGCGCGACAGCTATAGAAAGAGTAATTAGGCTGAGGAGGAGATTGTAATCTATTTCAGCACGTAGATATGAATAGTAGGATAATTAGGTCCGGGAGATGATGGAAATAAAACGAGAGCCAATTAAAGACTAAGAGCTAAGTGAGAAATGTGTTCGGTCTCTATTCAAAGACACCTGAGCAGCACACTGACTCACAGAGATCCAAATCATTTTTTCATACAAATCGCAGAGGTTTTTTTACGTCAGCGTGAAGATTTCATGCCGGTGACTGGGAGCGCTGCTCGGCCTGCGATTACCTTTTAGGAGAACCAGATGGCGAAAGGCATGAACCTGCCGCTAACGCCGAGGTTTCGCTGCCGCGTCGCATCTCTACAACCCTGCCAGCCCCGTGCTACCACGCCACATGTTCTGCTGACTTTTAGATGTATTTATGTTGACAGGGTCTGTTTAGAGAACAGTATACTCCACAGTTTGTTGTCTTTTCAGTGTTTGTATCAGCAAGGTAAACAACTCAAACAGCCTCCTCTGTCTCTCTGCAGCAGAGCCTTTTCATTTTTAATGCTTTAGTCATTAGCGGCGTTCTCCTCTTACAGCCCCTCGTTTTCCTTTCTCCTGGTGACCCAGCCCGCCTCTGTGTGTGTGTGTGTGTGTCACTTCAGCTCAAACACAAACGGCAGTCAGACGGTGCCAACCCGAGGGGGGCCACGCGTGGGGGCCCCACGAGGTGGCGTGCAACCGTCACAAAAAGCTACTCTCGCAAAACAACAACAACCCCACAGAGCGTGGTTAAATTGTTTGTGTCAGTGCGAAAGTATGAAAACTCATAATCCGCCCTACAGCAGCAGAGCAAAAACTTGACCCAACTTGCTCGCTTTCAACTCAGCAAGCCCCATCTGGCCCCCGAGCACCTGAGGAATGCGATCTACCTGTAGGAAGGAAATACACACGTTCTTGTACCAACAACGCAATACTAACGTCACCCTAATGAATATCAATGAGAATGGTAGAAACGGGTGTTGCTGTATTATATGAGGAAGTATTTATCTTGCTCTGGCTCACAAATCTGTCCTCAAAGCCACTAACGGCTCTTATTCTGGGCCTCCTGTCAGATGTTTGCCTGATATTGGTGTTGGCTTCAGTCTTCTGTGTCCTGGTAACCCACATACTCATGTGTGTGCATGTCAACATTCCCCAAAGCTGGACACCTAGGGGCTTGATGGAAAAGTTTCTCACCTACGGTCTCTGTTTACAAGGATAACAGTGTTTCCCCCGACGCGCGAGTAACGCCGCCAAATTGTGCACATGTGCTGTGTTTTCTAACGGTGATGTAATGAATGCAGGAAAGTACACATAGGAAATATAAGAGACTTCATTCAACTGTGCCGTTCATAAGTCATTCTCGTGGTTGATTTTAAAGGGATATTTCCATTACTGGTGGAGTCTTACGCACTAACAAAGGTCAGGTCAAATTGGCTCTTACTCCCGAGTAATGAAAGGGCCATGAGGCAATTTACATCGGCATGTCACGTCAAGCTGATCAATGACAATTTAGTTTAAATGGCTGCTATTTTAATGTCAGGCTTCTAACTAAATTACACTTCATCATAGTGATTTCCTGCGTTTGTTGCGCAAGATGTTTGCCCTTTTTCAGAAGTCTGTGTTTGTTGTTATTGAACTTGAGCGGAGAACAAGAGAAGACCACAAGGCTTCCAAACATATGGAAATTGTAGAGAAACGCTGCAAGAGAAAGAAAGAAATGCAACCCGTCATTAGGCTCAACAGGACCGTTAAACACCCTATAGTGACTGGACCCTCCAAAGTTTTCAGTCACAAACACTCAGGCCTGGGCCCCTGATGTGCCACAGGCCTATTTAAACTGCACGAGAGGAAATGAGCCATTGTTGAACGGATTTGGGGAACACAAATGGTCCACACAAGCTGAATGGAACTAATGCCAGCAGCATTAGAATAAAACGTGCAGACATTTTTGAATTAAACAGATTTACACACTAATTGGAGATGTTTTTTTTTTTTTTTTTAAATATATTGGTTAGTAACTTCAAGTATTTGTTGTTTTTCTGTTTGGAGAAAACGTTATGTTGCATTCAGTGACACACGGTGAAGTTCTCTCCCTCCCTCCCTCCTCTCCTCTCCTCCTTCCTTACCCAGCAGCAGCAGCTTGACCTCCCTGGCTGCCTTCTCGCCGTCGTCCCGCAGATTCCTGTCGATCATTTTGCTGCGCTCCACCGCCGCCTTGTCCTCCGTGCTCAGTGTGCATCCCATCCTCGACCGTGTCCTTCAGACCCAGATGGTGTTTTTAAAAAAACAAACAATATATCTAAAACACCATATATACCCACATTAAATGGTTAAAAAAAAACTGCCTTCACTCCGCACACACGCCCTTTTTTTTCTTCTTAAATGACAGCTAATCGATGTGTTTCTGACGGAAATGAAGGGATTCGACTTTTCCCAAAAACGGCGTGTCGCTTCTTCTGCCCGCTTGTTGAAATCCTCCGTGCATCCGAATGAGAGATATTTAGACAGCGGAACAGTTCGTTAACGATGTCTCTTCCACCCGTTCGCCTCCATTCGTTGCGGCGGCGACTGCTAGTATTGTATTTTGCGGCTTCTAGTAGAGAGAGAGAGCTGCTCGGCGTGTTCCGTATCCAGAGACAATCAACTTCCGGTCTCATCCTTCACAATAAAGGTGTAATTTCTTCAAACCTAATACTGAAGAAAGACTAACATTTGCAAACATTCCCTCCAATATTTCCCCTTTTCTTCTCTAAAACTGAAAAATTTAAATATATAGAATGTAAATTATAAAATACTAACTAATATCAAGAACATATGTAAACTGTGCACAGAGCAAATACATGACTTTGATTTGTTTCAGTGTAATTTTTTCAGTATGTCTTGAGTTCATAGGTAAGAAAAACATACTATTCTGAGGCCTTTATTTTGTAGGTAGACCCCTAAACCGGAAACTTCTCGACAACGGGACGCTAATCAAACCTGCACACCAATAGCTTTACATGTATCAGTTTAATACACATTTAGCATGTTTTAGCATTCCTTGTTATGTTTTCTTATATATTCCCTTCATAATATGACAATACATGTTTAATAGGATTATTTAAATAATACAGTAGTATAATAGTTTTCGTATTATTCCCCAGTTAGTCGTATGATTTGTTTTTCCAAATTGCTGGCCTATTGTAAATTTACGTTGTGTTTCTCACGAGGTCCTCCAACTTCCCTCTCCCATATCCATCAATCAAAAATCAGATGAGCTGCAACATTATATAGACAGGCATTAGTCACGTTACGATTTAGTTTTGAAGTTTAAAATATGCACACTAATATTGTACCCAAATAAAAACATAATTTTCACTTTATTGGCCAAAGCATGTGCCTTTTATGTTGATAAATATTATAACTTTTTTACGTTGTGAGTTTAACTCAAATTCTTAGATATATTATAATAAATTCCATTTAATCCAAACCTCTAACTGTGGCAGTGTTAGTCTCGTCCCATGCCCGTTCAGCTGTACATGACCATTGTTTGTGGTTTAAATAATTTAGCCTGTCGGACGGAGTCAAGTGTGAGTCTTTCAAAGTCAACAGTCAGTCTAAGTGTTAGTGGTGTTCACTTCAAAATATTCCACTCAAACCCTTGTGGTGTGAACAACCCCGTCTGTCTCTTCATGCAATTTTCATTTGGAACGTGGCTTTCTGGGAGTACATGCAAACTTGTGGTGTTGACCTTTCCACTCTAATCCTATGCTGGCTGGAGGTTTCCCTCTTTGTCATCCGGGTCTCTCTCCAGGTTTGAGACAACAAGAGCCAGAGGGTGTATCCCTCTGACAATACACATTTTTTAAAACCCCCAAAATTAAGCACAAAGAATTATAAACAGTCAATTCTGTTTGCTAAAGAATGGTGGTCAAAAGAACAGATAGTGTTAGATGGTGTAAAATAACCTCACAGGTATCATTAAGCATTACGTGTTCTCAATAAAGACAATAAATAAAGAAACTGAAGGTGTATAGGTTTAGTATCTGCCCACACAAAGTGAAATCCAATACAAATGTTGTAGTTGGACTTGTAAGATCAACAATAAAGTCAGTCAGGTGATCTTCAAACAGTTTTGACGAGAGTGTTTGTTTGAATAGACAGAGACGTGTCTTTGGCGGAGAGACTGAGTGGGACACACCACATGGACAGACCTTCTGTTCTCAACATGCAGTCAGTGTTGATGGAGTGCTGGTGCTGCTCTCCAGTGGTGATAATATGCAACTTCACAGTGCTGCAGAGCTGTGTATGTGGGCTGTTTGATCAACCCTAGAGCTCAGTGTGTTTTTAAAAGGTTGCCATGTTAAAGGGGGAGTTTACTCCTCACAGGGAGTCCAACACAGCCTGTAAAAGCAGTTTCATTTAATGCCTGGTTATAAGGAGCTTTGTTGGACAGAAATAACCCCTGAGGATGTCATAATAATAATAATGATGATAATTATAACAATAACAAATACTTTAGTATAATGAATAAACACGCAAACAAGAAAATAGATAAACAAATAATTAAATATCTCATTTAATTTGAATAGCACTTTTTAAACCTGGAAGTACAAAGTGATTTCCATGGACAGCATAAAATGAGAAAAAAACAAACAACCAAACAAATAGAGACGAAAACTCAGCAAAATACAAGCACAGGGTTAATAGACTGTATGAAAGATATTTGCTAATGAATCATATAAAAAGGTAGGATAAGTGAAACCATTAAAACATGTAAAGCCGTGTACAAAATAAATTTACAGTTAAATCGTCGGATGGCGGGTGAAACTATTAATACAAGTAAAGCCAAAATGGATTCTAAATAAAATTGGAAGCCAGAGAGAGGCTCAAACTGTGGAGATGTGAGAGGAGTGTTTGGTCTTCAGAAGGCTGACTAAAGAAAGTGACATGCATTCTCTCATGTCAGCCATGCAGCTGCACTGTTGCCATCTTTTTGCATTCAGAGGGTTAGATTTGTTTGTGATAACTTACTGCCAACACAGTTGTGGTTTCTGGGAAATCTAACTCAATGACAAAAAGCTCTCATCGATGCACATTCAACTCCCCATTTGGACGCTATTGATTGTCAGGGCTTCCATTTGGGATAAACTCTGCATCAGAGGTTTTCCATGGGACGATGAAGCAGGTTATTGAAGGACTTGATGGTGTGGGAACAAACATCGATGACTTTAAAGATCACCACAGAACACGAAACGAAGCCGAAACAATTTTTGGACCCGAAACTCACCTGTAAAAAACATATAGAACATGAATTCACAGAGAGCATCTCCCACCTCTCTCTGGGCTGTGATGAGCGAGAGACTGAATGAAGTTCAGACAGAGGAATGCAGTTTAGTTGCATGGGAACGTGATTGTGCAGGAGGCAGTGCTGACGGAGAGAAGTGAAGAACTGATCCTTGATATGCCACATGTTGTCTGCACAGTTCAGGAGTTAAATAAATCAATTGAGATAGAGAGCAATTTATTTTATTATCCCTCATGAAACCACAAATTCAGATAAGCCTAATTTTTTGTTGAACAGTCTTGGTGCAATGAGGAAATACTTAATCATGTATGTGTTCCTCCTTTTCTGTCCCTTGTAAGCTCGGAGCAGAAAGTGCAGAGCAGACAAGTGATGAATAGATGGAGGAGGACAGATAAGAAACAGAGCAGGAAATATCAGAACAAAAAAAATAAGTGAAATCTCTACGACGGTTGTCATCATCTAGGTCTTTGGATATCAAGAGCCGATATCTCACACCCTGATAAATCCCCTGCAGCGACAAGCCAAGTCTGTGTGGCAAGTTTCGGCTTAATCTTACGAGTGCTAGATGTTAAATGAAACAAAACTAAAATAGCATGGCTCCATAGGAGCAGAAAATAGCTTTATTTCATGCCCGACCTATGCATGTGCAACAACTCCTCTTTCAACCTTTCTCCCCAGCCTATTGTGGCTGTTATCACCTGCTGAGATAGTCCCTGATACTGGGGACATAACTCTCATCTGAACCTCGAACCTTTATTGTCGTTATGTAACTTAAATTTCTAGGAGGTGCATGGGCGGCTGCCAGAGGTGTCTGTGCCTTTACCTGGCCTCTGCTGCTCCATCAGCTCCTCTGTTACAGCCCGTCTGTGCCACTGCTGCTGCTGGTTGCTGGTGCTGCTGATGCTGCTGCTGCTGCCGGGACACAAACACAGAGAAGCTGCACATACTAGCACCCACCACAAACACAGAGACAGAAGGAGAACCGGCTGCAAGGCAGACAGACGGACGCACGCAGTGACGGAGGGAAGCGCACACCACCATGGGCTGCTGTAACAGGAGGTGCGGGCTGATAGCCGGAGCTGTGTTTGGGGCGGTGGTAGCCATCCTGGGTGGTGCCCTTATCCCAGTGGGGAACAGCATCATTCAGGGGACAGTGGAGAAGGTATGTTGCCGAGTTTCACCCAGGGGGGTGGGAGAATAGGGGACTGACAAGTGTGCGTGAATGCGTTCTTGTGTGTGTGTGTGTGGGTGTGTGTATGTGTGTGTGTACGCGGAGATCAAGGTGAATCAGGAGAAATGAGAGGGAAGAGGCGTGTGTTTCGGAAAGCTGCTTGACATGGTAAACAAGAAGCTGTGCAGAAAGCCAAGTGTGTTTTCATCCTTTGAAAAATCAGTGTCTGGGATTTTAATAAGAGACTGTAGAGACAATTTTTGCAGTTTTAGACCTTTTTTCTTTTTAAAAATAACAGAGCATCCTCTCTTTATGGGATGATCTCAGTGGGGGCAGTTGGCCTGCTGGCAGTCTTGAGGTCTGTTAAAAATAGACTGTCTGTTTGTCTTCGGGGGTTTAGGAAGCCGTCATTGAGCCTGGAACGACAGCTTATGACAACTGGGTTGCTGCAGGAGCAGGGGTGTACAGGCAGTTCTGGTTCTTTGACGTGCAAAACGCCCAGGAGATTTTGCAGAACGGATCAACTCCAGTGGTGGTGGAAAAAGGACCTTACACATACAAGTAAGGTGGATTTATTGACCTCTTTTATAACATTTTGATGAAAGGCTAAAGAATTTACAGTATAGAAACAAATGTCTCCTCTTACAAAACTGAATATCTAAGTGAGACCTTCTTCCCCTTTTCAGGACAAGATATTTTGCCAAAGAGAACATCACTTTTAACTCCAATCAAACTGCCTCCTTCCTGCTGCCCGTGGGCGCCATCTTTGAGCCATCCATGTCAGTGGGATCGGAGGAGGACAAAGTCACCTCCCTCAACTTGGCTGTGGCTGTAAGTGAGTGTCACCTCGGTGATTCCTGACTCGACTCAGCTCTGCTGTTAATAGTTACGGTATCTCTGTTCCAAGGCCAGGACAAGCTGTTCCAAATCAAGCTGTGCTGGCCTGTGGTGGGTTGCTTTTTGGCGTGTGACCCTCTCTGATAGGTTGAGTGGCTTCCCAGGTTGTTCCTTTGAATGTTTTTTCTATAGCTTAGGGCTGAAAACTATCCAGAATTTCACAAGAAAACAAGGATGAGAGAATATTTTGGCACTTACTACAAAAGAAAAGCAGTATGTTTCTTCTTTCGATCCTGTTAATCTGTGCCCACTCAGTATTTAAATGAAGGGTCCGGACGCCCAGGTTGGTAAACAGTGCACTACCTCATAAAGAGTTGTTTCAGAAGGAAATAAAATAAAATGAATTGGCTGGGGGAATTTAAGGTTTATAGTGAGTCGGCACTTTAACAGTGTCGAGACAATATCTGAGTTTCCGTGCTGTTTTCAATACTTAAACTGAGAAATATTTACATGTTTTTCTACAAAACTATTGAAATGCTGAATACAAATTAAGTATTTTTCAACCCAGGTTTTACTCTCACAGTGACACACAGCATAACACACATGAATCGGCAGCTAGCTTTGTTAACCGGTAAGTTTCCACAGATGTAGTAAGCGGTAAACTACAATAGCGTACTTTTTACTTGGACGACTCAGCATGTTATTCATGAATAGCCAGCTAGCCAGCAAGTTGCCCCGGAAGTTAGCCAGGCTACAATATCTAATGTCGGATGCTAATTTATTTTGACCACTCCAAGAATGTTATTCATGAATAGCCAGCTAGCTAGGTTAGCCAACGGGTTGCCCCAGTTAGCTCCAATAGCTAATACAGCATGGTCATTTCTTTAATTACTGTTAGCTCTGTCAGCATGTTTGCCATTGTTAGCACTGTTAGCTGCAAGCTGCCGGCTCAGCCATAGCCACGTTTAGAGGCAATAGAATTGTTCCAAATCTCTTATAAAGCACCTTGAAAAAGTTCCGGAATGCAGAAGATGTTTGCCGTAACATACGTTGCTTTGAAGGAGTCTGTGTTTTCTCCAATGGAGGTGGCAACTGCAAATGTAGCATGACCCACAGTCACAAAAGCCACAATTTCTAAAAAATAACCAGGTTGAAAAATACCAGAATCTGTTGTCCAAACACAAGCGAGAATGTAAAAAAAACCATACCTCTGCACCACAAAAAAACCAACAGCTTACGAATCTGAACAAGTATTGGTATGTAGGTTTTGATACCCAGCTCAATGGTGACTGGCGGTGTAAGAAGAACCGAAGTGAACCTTAACATTGGTGCAAAGATGCTGTCGTGTTGGAGCTTTGTAATTAGGAACAACCAGGAAGTCATCATTTTAAAATGGGAATTTGTTAATGGGTACAGCGCTTTCTCTTCAATCTTTGATAAGGCTCAAATGACGAGCACTATCTATTTCAATTGATCAGTTTGTAAGTAAATATGCGATATCACAGTGATAAGAGTCAAGAGGGTTATTGTATGGCTTATCTCCAGAGGCAACCGCAGCAGTTGTGTGCACAACAGTTTTGCTCGTGTATCAAGATGGAACCATACTGTTGCCAAAATATAAAAGATGAATGTTTGATTTTTCCTTTTTTAGGCAGCTTACTCACTGGTTCCCAAAGTGCTTCATTCTGTGCTGGAGAAACTGATAAAGACAAGCAACTCCTCCTTGTTCCAGTACCGTACAGTCAACGAATTGCTGTGGGGTTACAACGACCCCATGTTGAAAGAAAAGCTGGGCCTATTTTACCCTGTAAGTAAACAGACATTGCAGCCTTACGCTTTCACATAGTAAAACACAGAATAGACGAAATCTACCCAGTAACACACAATTTGTATGAATATATTGAATCAAATGTGTTTTCCCTAGTACAATGGCACATATGAAGGCATCTTCAACGTCTACACTGGAAAGGAAGACATCTCCAAAGTGGGAATAATTGACAGGTGGCGAGGAGAGAGGTGAGTCTGATTGTGAAGAAAGTGAAGGAGGTATTGAGTCTGGTTTTGAGGCCTTGATCTTTTAAAATCAGCTACATTTTGACAAGAAGCCAGTTTGAAAAAAAAAAAAAAGTGGGATATTTTAAGCTGTTCAAATCAGGTTAATGAAATTGTACGGATTCTGAAGTGAGAATTCAGCTTTTCTTGTAATCTTTAAGGCTGTTAAATCAAATTGTTTGTCTGACAAATTGAATTTTGTTCAACAGGAGCCTTCGTTTCTGGGACGACAAGTACTGTGACATGATCAACGGGACAGGTGTGGCTCACGCAGACCCCCCCCCCCCTTATAACTTCACACTCCTGCAGCTCTAAATGCAGATGAGTCACCTCTCTGACCTCATTTCTTCCCTCTTTCTCAGATGCATCTTCATTCGCTCCCTTTGTGGACAAGAAGACGCCGCTCTATTTCTTCTCATCAGACATCTGCAGGTGAGGAAGAGTTTCATTTTGGGGGATCAATGTCATCTGATGCAATCTGACGGCTGTGCTATGTCGGGCAGATTTACCATCTTACTTTAAGAACTGCAGCCATTTGGACTTTCCTCTCAGTAACCACTAGAGGTCAGAGCTTTCCAATGCCAAAATCACAGTCATGTACTGGAGGCTGCATTAAGTTGCACAAAGGATTACTGGGTACATGATGTTCAGTGTCTGGAAGACTTTTGAACTGATCTCCTTGTTGTTTCAGGTCTGTGTCAGCTAGCTTTGAGGAGAGCATGGATCTGAAAGGGATTGAAGTGTATCGCTTCACCCTCCAGCCAGACACCCTGGCCTCCCCAACGGTCAACCCAGAGAACAGCTGTTTCTGCAGAGACCCAAAGACCACCAAGAATTGCACCCTGGCTGGAGTCCTGGACATCAGCTCCTGTCAAGATGGTCGGTTTGCATTTGTTTCGTTGAGCTCAACATAGTCAATGCACCCCAGAACTTTCTGCTGCCGTTTTATCGTTCTGCTCAGCAGCTTGGTATTTTTGAATTGTCTGTTTCTTTGCCATCTGAACAGGGAGACCCATCTTCATCTCTCTGCCCCACTTCCTCCATGGCAGTCCGTACCTACGAGATGCCGTAAAGGGCCTCAATCCCATCGAGGAGCACCACGTCACCTTCCTGGACGTGGAACCTGTAAGAGCTTTTTATTTTTGTGATTCGTGACTTCTAGGGGCAGCAACTCTGATGCTATTTTTTTGTGTGGTATTTATTCTACTAGACAACCGGGTTCACCTTGAGGTTTGCCAAGAGAATTCAAGTGAACATGATGTACGGACCATCAAATGTCATCACGTAAGTTCTGCTTCACCTTTTTCAAAGGGAAAGGTTTGTGGGGAATATGTTTATTCTCTTTCTTAACGCTTGTAAAGAAAGAGAATACTGGTGAGCGTTAATTTTCCAAAATTGTGAACTATTCCTTTAAGAAAGTTTGAGTTTGCATGTCATCCGCCTCTCTCTCTCTCTCTCTCTCTGCATTTCCTGTCTTCTTCTGTCATGTCAAATGAAGGCAAAAAGTTTGAGACACCTTGCCGCACTGAATACCAAGTAATGAACTCTTTCCCTGCAGGGTGCTTAAGAAAGTCAAGGATTATACCATATTCCCTCTTGTTTGGATGAACGAGGTGAGATAAAACGTGGAGCGCTGCAGTCATGAAGTGTGGAGTCTGTTAGTTTTGGGATGCATGATACTCAGTCACTCTCTCTCTCTTTCTCTGTCTCCCTCCATGTCACCAGACGGCTTTGTTGGATGACGAAACGGCGGAGATGATTAAGGAGGAGCTGTTGTCCCGTATCGAGTTATTGGCGATAGTATGGAAAGCCCTGCTGGGCTCAGGTGTGGTCATCTTCGCACTGTGTTCCATCGCCTACTGTATGGTGAAGAAGAAGTGACCAAAGCAAGCTTGTGTGCACGGATGACGCAGCAGCAGTCGTTGTGTGTGAGCTGCAGAGCAAAGTGCATTTAAGCTGCTACGGGACATCAAACCTTTTGATATAGAGTTGCACTTTTTGTAATTTCAGTGTTATTAATAATGTCATACTTCCTTTGATCCCAGGGGGAGGAAGACTGTGATTTTGTGAAGCTCAAGAGCTTTGCTCAGCATTATTTCAATTACAAACACTGTAACAATAACTGAATCAGGGATCTTTAGAGAGAGAGAGAGCAGACGGAGAATCCTCTTAACTGTGTGGATTAATCCACGCAGAGGAGCGATGGGTTTGTTTGATATCTTATAAAAGAAACGTACATGAATCTAATCTTTCGCAAATGGTTGTATTCTTTGCTGAACCGGTGTCTTTAAAATCAATAAAAGTTGAAAGGGAGTTTTGTCATTGGGTGTTCTATTGTTATTATTGGATTGTTCCAACACGGCAACACAGTCTATCAAAATTGGTCGACAATCACCCTCGGCCCAAACTACAGCAGAGACTGTGCCGCTGCTGAAACAAACCTCTGCATTGTTCACGTTGCAGCAAACTTAGTTTTCTTTTTAAATCAAAAAGAGTATTAAAATGGGCTGGGGGATGATTATACGGGGCTTTTGAATGGTACTTGGGTTTGATTGTTGAGAAAGCAGTATTTCTGACCAGCAGGAGGCCTCTCTTTGGTTTTTATGGGTTTTAAATGACCCTCTGCAGCCTACGGGGCGACTTTAATTCTACTGTTATGGTCCGAATCTTACATGTCACACATATACCAGAGGGTTTATTGGGATGCACATTTAGGACAGTTTTTGTTTGAAAAGCTCTTAAACGTCTGTGTAGTATCATACCCATTAGTCCTCTTCCAGGATGCCAAATGTCTTCATGTGATAAAGTTTTAAGGAATAAATACTTTTTTACCAGGAGTTAGAGCAGACGATCCCTTTCTGAACGGTGATTGGTTACCTTCAGACAGAGCCAGGGTAGCGGTTTCTATTATTTGTGCTAAGCTAAGCTAACCAGCTGTTGGTGTGGCTTCATATTTACAGTACAGACATGAGTGGTATCGATCTTTTCATCGAACTCTCTGCCAGTAAGCAAATACGTGTATTTCCCAAAATTGTGTGACGACAGCGTGACTGTTCCTTTGAAGCAACATAATAGGCGATCACCGTAGATCAAATAATCTATTTAGAGGACAGAGGGACGATAAAGTGGCCAGTAACAGAAATATTAAGTTCACATTTTGAGATATTATACAAATAAAAATATCTGACAATAAAAGGCATGATCTTTCTGTGATATTGAGATTCATCGGAACAGATTTATTCAGGCTATCACGACATTAATAAATAGAAATACATATGATTCATAACACTGAAGTTACACCAAGTTGAAGTTGACATGATGCCGGTCGCACAGCTTTATTAAACGTGGAGCAGAGATCTGTTTAGAGGGTACAACTATAGAAAGTCTTTTCTCAAAATGAAAATAATACTGTAACGTCTCTGCAATTTGCAGATACAGTCATAGCTGGTGAATCATGTTGAAATTATGTACATAAACATCTGCACAACATTAAATTAAAAAGGATGAAACAAAGAAAACATACTATGTACACAAGCAACGATTAATCTCTATCTACATTAACTATGTCTCTGACAAAAAAAAGTCTATTCACAGAAGTCAATTAATTACCATTTCTGCATTAAAACGGTCCACTTTGCTGTCGATGATGTGGAACAAATATTGTCAGCATCTACCTTCAGATGTAAACTATGCTGTGAAACCAAAATATGCAAATCTGCTCGTTACTCAAATCCAGGCCAGAGTGAAGATGCCTCTACATTACTGATGCATTTCTATAAACATGCTTCTGAAACAAGAGAAGCATGATACAATACGCAGCTGAATTACACTGAGGCAGATTCTTGTACATGTAGGTCTGAGTAATAGGAATAAATACAGGAGAGATCACGCAGAATTTGACGTGCTACTCTGTATTTTACCATTATTTCTGTTTGGTAGCATCAGGATGTTAAGTTTGGCCTTTGAACTAATTCCCTTTTTAACATTCACAGCGCTGTAATGTGACACTTTTTACTGGAACCACTTGCCATCTGTGCTTTGTATGAACTGTGCTATTATAGACTGTATGAGAGGCAGTCAACACATGAGAAACATGACTGTTTATTACCCTATGTTTGCCCACGAAGCCATTTCACTGAACAGAGACACATTTGTTAGTTTAAAGTAAACACAGAAATGTGAGTAGAATCTAATAAAATACTAATATTATACTTTGAGAAGGCGTTCACTCTCAAGCATGCATCTGTCTCCCTTTTGCCCCCTTTTCAATCTCCTCTATTCACTCTGTTCATTTCAAATTACCGCCTCTTTTTGTGAACAAAGAAACAAATCCATTGTGGGCTAATATCCGGCCAGCCTAGTTTCCCCTCTAATATCGAAAATATGATAAGATCATCGGCCACAGCTGCGTCTCAAGGTGTATTATCGTAAGCAATATCAGCTCAGACCGCAGTTTATCAGTGCCACTCACAACAGGGCCACCTCAGTCCGTGTTGCGACTGCGACAGCAAATGAATTGCTCGTGGGTGCCTGTGGGTGTGTATTAGTGGATGTCACAGCCATCTGGTCACAGTACCTCATGCAAGAAAAGGAGATATTGCCGAAGAACAACTCCCCACACCCACCTCACAGTGCAGCTCTGCAGTTTGAGATGAGAATTGGAAAAATGAAGGTCTGGCTCGGGGAAACAGAGGGAGGTGTTTGTGTCAGTTTCTGCACCTCCCTGTGTCAGACCTCTGGGACGTGATTGCGCCGGCTGCGGCTCTTCCTCCGGTCCAGCAGGGGTTTCAGTTTGGCCAGGTCCCCCCTGAGAGGTCCAGGTGGCTGAGGCTGCTGCTTCTTCTGCTGGAGGTTCTGGAGCTGCTTCCTCTCTTTGCAGTACTGCTGCACAGCCAGGCTCTCTGCTGGACTGAAGGCTGACAACAGGGTCTTGGGGTGCAACGAGGTGGCCCAGGCCCACGGCGACTGCTGTTTGTCCGTCAGCACGCTCACCATGGCCTCGCTCAGCACTCGCAGGTGGATCTTGGCGACGGTGCGTTTGAAGCTGTTCTCGGTGGTCAGGCAGTAGTAGAGGCCCTGGTCGGACAGCTGGACGGAGCGGATGAGGAGGCCGTGCTCCGTGGAGACGACGCGGTCGCTCAGCTTCACCTGTGGTTGGCACAATTAGGTTCTGTCATAATAACACCATGGTTTGTAGTGGAGATGTTGATTATGAATAAATAAATATCTATCTATCTCATTACGCTATGCCCTTTGAGAGATCTGTGTGCTCATCCCTCCAGTGTAGTTACATGTGATGTTGATTGGAATAAAGGAATGATGGACTCTGGATTTTGATACTCTGGTTCTGGAGAACCTTGATGGACAATTTGCAGATGAACCATTCCAAATTGTTGAAATACTGAAAGAAGATGAAATTGCAGTGAATGTGGAGGTGCTGAACGAACCCTCCTTCGTCGCCATCAATCTGAAAATAATGAGACTAAACTGATGCTGACACTCTAAATGCAACACTTTATTCCTTTTCCACCGACTACTTTAAAACCAGCTCGGCCTCAGTTTGGAAAAGACTCCAATGATTACACACCATAAAACTAAAGTGATTTATTTCAAGGCCAACATCTATTCTCATGGGGAAACGGCTATAAAAACGGCCATTACTCTGTGTCAACTCCGCAGAGGTGAGAGCTTAATCCATAAAAGATTGTCCATGCTGACGCACTCTTGCCCGGCATTATTTAATCTTTCACAGCCTTTCAAGGGGTTAAAGGGGCGTCAAATATTTGTAAAACGTTGCACCGCTGAGAATCCAGCCATTAGTCAAGGTCCACATCATGTTTGATCTGTATCACCGCTCATTACGGTGCTCCGTGTTTGCCGTGTCACTCCTCAGGCGATACAAGCGCGTGAGCTCATCTGATTGCTATGACATGTTTGATATTCCATGTAATGTTTAACAATGTGACCGAAACACCGGAGCAAGTGAAGGACCCTTAATCAATTTTATCTCAAAGAGATTTTCATCGGTGCCACGTCAACTTGTTGCATACGTGCAAAGGCGGGCTGTGATGTTGACCTTTGACCTCTCTAAATGTCAAACTGACCTCTTTCCTCCTGTCATTGTCCCTGTGAATTACCCAGCGAATGGACGCCTGAGGAGACTTGGGAAGGCACTCCAGGAAGGTGGTGTTGTTTTTCACGCCGTACTGCGTCATCTCCACTGCGTTTCTGTAGGCTGACGCGCACACACACACACACACACACACACACACACACACACACACGCACACACGCACACACACATACATGCACACACAGAGAGAGAGAGAGAGTCAGGGGAGTCACGTCAGACGTCACCTGCTGACAGACACAAACCCCACAGATGGACTCAAATCTGTCTCAAGTCCCAACTGCGAGAGGGAAATGTTGACACAGAGCTTAGTGTGACACCTGCAGCACGACCGACCGATCCCCCACCCAGAATTTCTCAGTTTCTACAGCCTGACAAAATCTCCGCCAATGCATCGGCGCAACTCAGTTTCGTCTCATTTACCGTGCAGTTTTTGTTGTTGCGGCTAAATGGTTCATCACTCAGCTGGATGTATGACAGGGTTGCGACTAATTAGCGGTAATGGCCGTATGGCTGGTTCCCCAAGCTCGTTTTAATTTAGAGATGTAAACTGTTCACGGAAATGGGACACTCTGGGGAGCAAATCCTCTCCTCTCAGAGTAAAGCCTGCCATTACTACTGGGTGAATTTTCGTGATGGATGTTGAGCAGCACCTGGACACACAAAAACATACAGTAGCTGCAGCTACTGCTCCAACGTAAACAAGTACAATCGTTTTTGTTTTGGTTGCATTTGGTTGCCATCAAATGTGGATTTTTGTGTCAATGTCTGTGTAAATGTGAATCAGTTGTGGGAGAAGATTAATTGATTTGAGAAATGTCCCTTTATGAATACATATCATAGGTAAATATTTAAATGCATACTGCTGCATGCTTTTGTTTTTTGGACACTTAAAATGGAAAAACAAGCTGAAAACACAACATTGGCATATTATCACCTTGTAAATGTATTATCTTATCCTGCTTACACGTAGCAGCATCGGCGTTCATTTGATGTTTCGGTCCTGATGAAGGTGTTTTGTTTTTTGCCTCCTGAGAAAAATATCTGCCTTTATAGCTGCTTTTTTTTGTCAGCTACTTGCTATTTTTGTCTGCAGTCTGGTGCTGGGCAGGTAACTTTGGGTGCATTTATCTGAGCTGAACAACTGCCTGCTGTTGTGAGGTTGACGACGGTGTAATTTGTCAGCCGTAACATCTTAACATCGAGCTAAAAGAGGCTTAAGCTCTGTCGAGCTGAGGGAAAATGCAAAGACGAGTAAAAAAAATGCTCTGTGGTTTTGTCCCAATGAGCGACACCTTTCACATAACACAGTCATCTGATCATTTAATGTAAAAATATGGATCAGTGCAGCTTTAATTACCTTTTAGATTGAAACCTCTGCACTGAGTGAGTGGATTTCCATGCATGATGTCCTGCCTTCTGCTTCTCCTAAAAAAAGAGGAAAGGAAAACAGCAGTGAGTATAAATACACTACAGCTAAATACAGAACAAATACACAACCTTCTTCCTCACATGTCCGTCTCATTAAAACTGTGGAAGTAGCTGTCAGTGCCAAAACAATATGAGGAGGATCGGACTGTTATTCCTCTCAGCGGTGCACACTGATATAGAACAGCTTGAGGAAAGGAGCACGTAGACAGCTGACGCATTTCACACACATTGTCCTGCAGGAAAACAGGCCGCTCTCTCGTCCTGCGACCAAACCAAACCTGACCTGCGTCTGACGGGAATGTCAAGAGACAACGCAGACGCATGCCTTAAAAGAGAACAGAGAGGTATCGGTTCATAAGCGAGGTATCGCTCGTACCTCCTTGTCTGCGTTATGTCTAGACGGACAGAGGGGAACAACAAAAGGCAGAATTAGTGACATACTTACGCTGAAGTGTTCACTGAAGGATTCCAGTCGCGTGATCTTTTTGGCCTCACAAGTTGTGAGCAGCTCTGTTCTGTTCTTGTTCAACATGTTGTCGCACATCATCTGTTTCCCACATTCAGTGTGGATTGATTGATTTCATATTTGTTGCATAACTGATGAACACTACTTCGGTTGTCTGTTGGACACCCACAAGCTCACTAGGTTCCCATGGCAAATTGGGAAAAAAGTGAATGCAAGTGAATGGGAATACTGTATACTATTCAATACATGCTGATGTTTATTTAACACTCGTGAAAGTTTTGAATAGCTGCCTTTATGACTGGGTTCCCTAATCAACACCTGTCAGCACAGAAGAAGACTTGTATTGGGGCTTAAAGGCTCTTGCATACTTTTTTTCTTTACTGCCATGAGAACAGTCCTCGTTGGACACTTGATACTTCTCAGGAAATTTAAAAGATACTGAATAATGGCACCAAACCGCAGTTAGGAACCCTGAAGCTGTAAATCTTTGCATACCTTTTGCCGGTGGGATAGAAGCGCGAGCAGCTGAGCCCGTCCCAGGCGCAGTAGGGGTCTCTGGCCAGGCAGCAGTCAGCGCAAGCCGAGCCGTAAGCGTGACAGCGGTGCAGGGAGACCTGCGAGACCCCGAACTCCGAGCTGACGTACAGCTGTTGCTGTAAAGTAAACAGTTCAAATATCAGCCGCCCTGTTTGTCTTCATAAGTGGCCGGCTGACAGGAAAATGAGGCAGAGCGCCGAAACAATTACGGCTTATTATTCCCTGGCCTTTGGGAGGCTTATCGTGCACAGGAGAGTTCTGTTTCGTGCATTACATAGTAGCCACAGACAATGAATTACATATTAAAACAATAAAACTGCACTTAATAAATGAGGTAAGTAGCTTACTTTTTTTGAGGATATTCTCAAGTTTGTAACAGGAGCTTGATTCTGAAAGAAATAGCACATACAAGAACCAGGTTAAGAGCTTTTAGACAATGTGCACAGTTCTATCACATTCTTAAAGGAATAGTTGGGAACATGTTGGGCAGAGAACAGCTCATCAGACTTTTATTTAATACAAAAAAACAGCCATCTAGGATCAGCTTTTCGCCAGATGTATCTTTCTGAAAACTATTTTGGGAATAAATGTCCTGATTGATGGACCGCTATGGTGCAGTGGAGGATCAAAGCAGCCGAGGCGTTTACATCTGATCACAGGTTGATCACACTTTTAGTGATTCAAGAAGATAAAAGAGCATGTGCGGAGGTTCACTCGGGGCAACGAACAGACTCTCGCAGTATGTTACGATGTTTCCCATCACTCTACGCTGCAGAACATCCATCTCCCAAATGCCACCCTGTTTCTGTCTGTCTGCCCCTGGCCTTTGTGTTGGGGCCAAGCGCGCCCTGCTCCCGTCCCCTCCCTGCCTTTGATTTTAGGGGATGAAAGTAAGACCATAATGAAAGAAAGCGGAGAAAAACAGACAGCTGACCTTAAACACTTCCAGCTCCTCCAGGATCAGATCTTCATGCAGGGATTGATTGCTTGGCAGCACAATCACCTTCTGTACTGCACCTTTGTCTGGGGGCAGAAAGCAGACATGTCTTGAGTTGTAACTACACGCACGCATTAAACCGCCGTGTGAAACAGATATGGGCTACTCAGCCCAGACGGGGAAACTAGAATGCAACGCTTGTGAAAAACAAACAAACTCCAAGTCTGTTTTCCTTTGCCCATGTTTGCTTTTGAAATAGGCATGATAGCCACGGGACAGTTTATAGCAAAACCAACTGCAGGGGTGAAAATGGAAGCTCTTAAGCCTACGCAAGGGAGGACAAGGGCCACGCAAAGGGGCAAAATTCAACACAACCATCATCAACAAGGCTTTTTTTGTCCAGGGAGTTGGATCAGCGGAGCAGGGAGAAGGAGTAACAGCTCCTGGAAACGCCTGATAAGAGCGTCTCTCCCCTCATCCTTGAGACAAAGCAGCATTTACGGGGCTCAGATATGGTGAGACAGCTCTGGCCTCTCTTCGGGAATCCATGTGGGAGAAACAGAATGGAGAGGCTGCCTGATAAACACAAGCAGCTGTGAGAGAGAGAGAGAGAGAGAGTCCCAGAGCTGCTTTCTGAACGCAAACATGGGCACAAGTGGACACGCACGTGCACGAATACACGCATAATTATGTGCGCAAGCACACGCATAATATTCTGTTTAACCACCATTTTGTGAGAACAGAAACAAGAGATACAATATATTCTACACTTGTGCTCTCAGGAACATTTAATCTCATAATCAGTCTTACATTTTTCTAACTTATATCCACCTGCAGGTTTTCTCATCTGATTTCATAAAAATAAGACCATGCAAGGAGAAAGCCCTCTCCGAAAGTACCACGTCTTATCCAACTGTCTATGACCTTTATAATACATGCTGTCGCGTCTGTTTTTTTCAAATTTGCCACCACACCCACAGCATACTATGCCCTCTGTTATCTGTTTTTCTGATTTCCAGCTGTGGCGAAAGGACTCCTCCCTGACAATCATTCACTTATTAACACCTGACGAGAGATGATTTGTTTTATTGTTACTTCCCTTCAATTCACTGTAGATTAGTTTCCTTATAATATCCTGGTTACAGCTCCATAAAATGCTCATTAGAGCTAGAATAAAAAATGATCAGAGCCAATATTACCTCAATAATTACCTCAATATTACCTCTGCTTGGTGTGGGAAAGGTCAATTTTATATATAT